GACGGGGCCGCCGCGGCGCCCGGCGCCCCGTGGGTGCCCAGGTGCCGCGCGAGGTGGGCGCTGCGGCGGAAGCCTTTGCCGCACGAGGGGCAGGCGTGCGGCTTCTCCCCCATGGCGGCCGGGCCTGGCGGGGAGAGAGCACCGCGGATGGGTGTCACCGGGSTCGCCGTCCCCCTCGCGACGCCCCCAAACCGCTGGGGCCAGCCCCTTGACACCCCGCTGCGGAGTCGCTCCCGAATGTCCCCSCCGGCGCCAGATCGCGGCGCTCGCTGCACCGGTTTGTCCCCGGCGCTGGAATTTGGCTCCCGATTTTTGTCCCTGCTCCCCAGTTTTGTCTCCCTGCGGCTGAAYTGCAGCCCCACACTCCCGTTTTCGCCCTTGTTGTCCTGTCTCGTCCCCCAATTTCGTCTCGCTCCCCATTCCATTCCTGCAGCCAGGATTAGGCCCCCGGGCCCAATTCTGTCCCCGCTCCCAAGTTTTTCCCGCCATTCCCACATTTTTTTCCCTGCTGCCCAACTTTATCCCCACTCCCGACTTTTGCTCAATCTCAAGAGCCCGAAATGACCCCGGGCTTGGGGTCCCCGTCCCCACTTCCCAGTTTGTGGGTGCCCCCCACTCATTCCCTCCCCCATTCCCAGTTCAGGGTAGGGGTCCCACTTTGGGAGATTTCCCTCCCCATTCCCATTGGGGGGGGCAGGGGTAGCTCCCCTTCCCACRTTCCCAGTTTGGGGGGGATCTCCACTCATCTCCTCCCGTTTGGGGTTTGTCTCTTTCCCRATTCCCAGTTGGGAAGAGGCTCCCCCCGCCCTGCCGGCTCCCAGTTTGTCCATGGAGCTGCCCTCCCCATTCCCAGTTTGGGGAATCCCCCATTCCCAGTTTTGGGGAGCGGGGGGTGTCTCCCCATCCATCAATCCCAGTTTGGGGCTGCCCAGCCCCTTTCCTGCTCCCACTCCGGGGGCCCTCCCCCATCTGTGGTGCTGGGGGGGGAGGCTCTGCCGTCCCCCCCCCCCCCCCCCCCCCCCCCCCGCTCCCAGTCCGCCCAGTTCCCCCAGTCGCTGCTCACCGTGTGGCAGCCGCCGCCAGGCCCTGCCCCCGCGCGCGGGGCTCCATGGGGCCTTAACCCTTTGCTAGGCCCGGACGCCTGGGCCCCTCCACGCCCGCTCCGCTCGGAGCCTCCCGGACGCCTGGGCCCCCCTGGCCTCCTGGCAGGGGCAGCCGGGGACCCCAGGCTCCACAGGGCTGGGCCACCCATGGGTGCTGGGACACCAAGGTCCGCTGTCACCCCTCTGTGTGTGTGTGTGGGGGACACCCACCTCCAGGTCCCTGGGGTGGGGGCACCCACACGGGATCAAGCCTCCTTGACACCCACTGGGTGACACCCTTGTCACCCTGGTCACTAGCGGGTGACACCCACCCACTGCCGTGTCCTCAAGGTAGTGCCACCCCCATGGGTCTCCCCAGGATGAGGCATTCCCTGTGGTGGTGACACCAAGGTGGGTGTCCCAGAATAAGGACACCCCTCCTGGGTGTCCCCCGGGGTGGGGACCCCCCCCCCCAGTGTCCCAGGCATGGGGACACCCACATGGGCGATCACAGATGGGGGAAAGCCACGTGTTTGTCCCCGGGCTGGGGACATCCCCGCTG